TTTTACCTCAGGAAGATTTGAACACGCATCCTCTATAGAGGGTATATGCTTATCCTAGAACCGATTCTTTATATATATCATCCAAACATACTTTTGTATAAGATCTATAAAGAATTTTCGATTTTTTAGCCTATATTCAGATTTTTCTGATGTTTCCGCAGGGTTACATACTAACAATTAGGATTGATAATATTTTTAAAAAATGTATAAAATAAATGTATTTCATATTACTACTAGTAAGTCATTAAATAATCTTTACCATACGTCACCACAAGTGTACTAGAAAAATTAAGAAATATGTTCATTAAAGAAGCGAGTTAACGAGCATAAAAAATAAAAAAAAAAATTAATTATAAAGTATTTTCTTGCGTATAGTACGAGTATATAAAGACTATACAAGAGTACTGAAATATAACGTATAAAATGTATTGCAGAAATATTTATGAAATTCGACTACATTACGATCGGTAGAAAAATAAGGATGAATGATTAAATGTGTTTGTAAAACTGATGATTCAGGGGCATGAAAAGTCTCTGATTAAATATCAAAGTGGCGGGACTCGCATTGACAGTGAACAATGGCTCTGTGGAGTCATTAGACTATTATAATGATCACCTTAATCAGCAACACGAAATTCAGATTATATGCAAACATTGTCCCAAATCACGCGATGGCACAAGCGTTCATACGAGTATTTTAAATAGTGGTGATAGCAACAAACGAAGTGATAAAAATAGCATCAAAACAATTATCGATTCACCAACGAGTGAAGATAATTTGATTGATACTCAATTTTTGAGGAATAAAAATATTGTTGAAGTAAATGATCGTCGACCAGATGAAATCAAATCTCGATCGTGGCTTTGTTGTCCAGGTGAACGAGATAGTGATCATGCTGTGCCTATACAAATTAAGGCGGATGACCAAAGACAAAATGTAAGTCAGTAGATAAAATAAACATATACTGATAGAAAAACTATCTTGATTAACCCGTGTAAAAAAAAGTTGTCCCAAAAATGTCCCAAGCGTAGACATCCAAACGTGACACAATGAGGAACATTTTTTGTACAATTTTGGAACATTTTTAGAACATTTTTAAGACAATTTTGAAATGATTTTAGGAAAGATAATTTTTTTGCACAGCTGTAGATTTGTCCCAAAATTAATGGATGGAACATTTTTAGGACAATTTTGGAACAGTTATGGAACATTTTCAGGACATTCTTGAAACGATTTTTAAATGATTAAAGATGTGACGGGTGGGCCTACCCTCCCGTCAATATTATGATAAATCATATATATATTTCTATAAATCGATGGGCCATTTTGCCCACCTGAATTAGACACCGAATTTCCGTTGTCCTTCTAGACTGACTCTGGTTACCGAGAGTCGCTACTTGCACGTTGTGCTGATGAGACGCTTTCTCATGGGAACCGAGCGAACAGGTACTCTAATACAGGGAACTGCTTTCGGCGCTTTAATACCTTTTTCCGCTGACTAAGGAACTTGACAATAACCACCTAGTTCCCGAAGGCGGAATAATCTTAGTTCATTCGCGGAATAATATGAGTTCAGCGCAGTAATACAGGTGTCCGACGGTATCCGCGACCGAGGTGGCACAAACCTGCAACCTCCAGGATGAGCGGCCACTTGTAGTCAGTCAGTCGTTTTAGTCTGTCCGAATCTATGTTGAGTCCGAGCTGTCTTGCATCGTAATTAATTGTCTCCTAAGACTCTCATTCTTATTGCTGCCCCATCTCTCTCTCTGTTATAGAATCATTAGTATTGCATTTATCGAATAATATTGTGTCTGTTTAGAATCGCTTTAGTAGAGAATTAGATTGTAAAAGAGACTAAACAACACAAGGACCCACACGGGTTCTACGAAGATACCTTCCTTCGTATTCTTTGATAAAGGACTGAACATTTGATCCGTGGTATTTGGTGTTTTTATACACCCGGATCGTGATTTTCGGAAGGGAGTTAATGTAAAAGAGACTCTCAGGGCCATTTCGGGTAACTCCCATGCTTTGGGGACGCCCAATAAACAATTAGTACCGTAATTCACGTGTATTCTTCATTCACTGAGCGACCCACACCCTCTTCAACATTTAAGTATTTTTCAGTGAGACACTGAGCTAGTCCGGAGGTCTGTTTATGTGACAGGTAAATGACCAGGTATAGGCTCACACATAACAAAAGGAATAATTGAAGAAATAAATAATTGATTAGATTTTCCGAAGACTATTTTCTATTTCATACACCGAAAAAATAATATTATAAATAGTAATAAATATCGCTTAAAATTTTAATCTAGAAAAATTGCAGTTCGAGATAAAATTCTTAAAATTCAAACTTTGAATGTTAATTTTCAAAGCTTTGAATGCAATATTTACATTTTACAATGTAATTCTTACAGAATCTGTAAAAATTACTCTGAAACTGTAATTTTTTCAGTTTTTTATATAAAGCGCCACGTTACATTATATAGTGTCATTTTTCACTTTTTCTTTTTTCAGTATAAACACTTAAAGATTATAATCTTTATCGAAACTAGATATTTTTTTTACGAAGCGTTGATTTTGTAAAAAAGTAACATTTTTGAAGTTATACTTCTTTTGGCGCGTCAGGCAAAAATGATGAGGGTAAATTTTTACGATGCGCGTGCACACCGTCACGAAAAACCGACATGATGAAGTTAGCTATAGTCAATAATATTTTAGTTTTTCAAAAAAAGGTACCAACAAAGTAAAAGTAAGGACATCTACGTATGTTTGCGTGAGAACTGACAACTGTATTCACAATATTTATTTATTTGTTTCTGAACCTACCACACGTGTTTTGTATCAGTCCGAATAAAATATATACAAATATACATAAAAAAGTTTGGAAAATCCAAAAGTGCACGCCTCATAACACTCATTCATTTTTTAAGAAAAAATAAATTGTGTAATTGATTAAAAAAGAAAAAAAAATTATGATTAACCCTTTAGAGTCCGAGGATCTTGAAACGTCTTCGCGTGAGAGTAGTGGGAAAAGCGCAAATCCATAGTAAGACCCAAGAGTGGGGTTTCAAGGTCAGACTCTAAAGGGTTAAGTAATTTCTTACAGGGAATTTTTTTTTTTTTT